TAAAGTAGTATTCAACTCTTTGAACGAACGTGACCTAATTTTACAAAATGAACACAAATTAAAGGGTTCAGGAGTCTTCATACTAAAGGACTTAGCGTTGACAGACCGTGTAAAAAGACGGGAAGCCGAAAAAGAACCACAACTTAAGTTAGACGCTGGTGAAAAGGACATAAAAATGTAAATTTTTGGGTTGTGAGGCCTCGATAGAGAATGGTGCCGAAGTCCCTTTGGGTGTAGCACGAAGTCACTTAAATAGGCTACGGATACACTACACTAATTCCCGAAGATCGCTCGATAAGCGGTCGGAACTAGGTGTACAGATTGACTCTATAAAGCCAGATATAATCGCAGTGACAGAAACTTGGCTGACGCAGCCTATAGATAGTATGAAACTTGATTTCGAGGGTATTGCGTTGGTAAGAGCCGACAGAATCCAGAAGTGTAAAGGAGGGTGGGTAGCTCTATTCATTATGAATGCTATCGCATTTGCCATTATCGACAGTGTAACCCATGAGATTGGGAAGTGTGAATCAGTTAGTTGCCGCTTGAAATGCAAGGGTCAAAAGATTCTGATTGTCTAAGCCTATCGCAGTCCAAGCTGTGAGGTAAATGAGATCTTGCTAAGCATTCTCAATATATGGTCACAAAGCGGTCGATGTCTAATCCTAGGGGACTTTAATGAACCTATGGTAGACTGGGAAAATCTGCGAACTGAATCGCCGGATAATTCCTTCGAGCAGAAACTAGTTGATGCGGTTATCACATATGCCCTGGTGCAACATGTGAAAGAAGCGACTAGGTACGACCTGGACACTGAATCATTCTTATTAGATCTTATATTGACTCACTATGAGGATGACATTGTGAACCTTGATTACACGCCACCCCTTGGGAAACGTGATCACGCAGTTTTAAATTTTGACTTCCATATAACTGTCAGTCACGAGCACACGTTAGCTTAATCCAAACCTAACCTCTGGAAAGCAAAGGTACAAGATATCATGCACTCAGTATCGTCAGTAGATTGGACAACAGACCCAGAGTCCTCAATCGAAACAGCTCGGGACGTGTTTCGAAATTTGCACTGCACTCTACATCCCTTGGACTACACCAAAGGGGCCGAGAAACTCCCCACCACGGTTCAGCAGGGAGGTCTGCATCCTTCTCTGTAAGAAAAGAGAAGTGTGGGATAGGTCTAGGTTACTGGGGACTGATGAAACTAAATCCCAGTATAGAAATGTCCGGAATACCTGTGCCTCCACCCTCCGTAAGTCTAGAAAGTTGTACGAAGAAAAGATTGTTAAGGAATCCATAGAATGTCCTAAACGCTTGTATTCTTATATAAACCAAAACACAAAGAGAAGAGGAAATATTCCTGCTCTATGGGGAGACAGTACTGCTTCATCATTAGTGGAGGACGACTTTAGTAAGGCTCAAGTGTTCTCAAACTACTTTAGCAATATACACACCACAGAAGCGCCCTTCCCATCAGCTCATACAGATCCCCCCACACACACTTGATAGCGTGACCATTAAAGAACTAAATAAGCTTGACATAGGTAAATCCACGGGGCCCGATGGATTACATCCTAGGCTACTAAAGGAATCATTTGACTTCGTTGCGAACTCTTTAAGTATATGCTTTAACCTATCCGTAACGCAGGGTCGTTTACCCAAAGACTGGAAAAACGCCATAGTACGTCCTATCTTGAAAACAGGTACGAAACACACACCTGAGAATTACTGCCCCGTTAGCCTAACTAGTGTGGTTGTTAAAATCCTAGAAAAGATCATTCGGAAGGAGCTGTTTAAGTATCTCAATAAAAACCGGATCCTTTTGGAGAAGCAGCACGGTTTCAGAATAGGTTATTCCTGTCTTGACGCACAACCGGCTGTTATATAAATTAAGAAATGTCGGGATAGAAGGCAATCTATTTATGTAGATAAAAGAATTCTTAGTTGGGCGTCAACAAAGAGTGCGAGTGAACTCAAAGTTATCTAGCTGGGGAACTGTGCTTAGTGGAGTGCCCCAAGGTACAGTTTATGGGCCAGTGCTATTCCTCTTGTATGTAAATGGACTTCCTCGTCTCTTATCATTATGGGTCTTGCTATATGCTGACGATGTCAAGATTTAGAGAACGATACGATATGAGGGTGATTGCTTAGAACTCCAAAATGACCTGAAGAAATTATCTGAATGGTCTCAAACCTGGCAGTTGCCGATAAATACTTCCAAGTGTGTTGTGATGCATATCAGTCATCAAGGTACAGATACATGCACGATGAATAACACTGAGCTACCTATCGTCCAGACATATAATGACTTAGGAGTCATCGTTAGCCAAGACTTACAGACTACTGCACACTGCCGTGCAATAGCCGCCAAAGGTTTTAGAACGTTATGGTCAATACGTAGGGCTTTTAGTCATGTCGACACTAAGACGTTTTTGACTTTGTATACAGTGTTCGTTAGTCCTAAACTTGAGTACTGCATACAAGCGGCTAGCCCCTGCTTAAAAAAAGACAGTGAGCTCCTGGAAAAGGTTCAGAGAACGGCGACTAAGCTGGTTCCCGGAATAGCGAAGCTTCCGTATGAAGCTCGACTGGCCAAGCTGAACCTTTTCCCGTTGTCATATCGCAGAACTAGAGGCGACTTGATTACAGTTTTCAAATTGCTTGGTGCCCAATTCGCACCTGTTATGCCCTCATTTTTCTTGTCTTCCGAAACAGAGAATTTACGAGGACACTCCAAAAAAGTTCACAAGCCAAGAACAAATTACTTGTCAATCGACTTTCCCATCGAATCATCAACGAGTGGAACTCATTACCTCAGTAGGTGATTGAGGCTCCATCCATCGATTCTTTCAAAAGAAAGTTCGATCAATTGAGGGACCACCATTGCCAGGACTAACACAGGCAGTGAGGCCTCATGTCCTTCCCAAACTGAAACTCAATCTCGAAAACTTACTGAGCTATTTATTGTAGGATTTATTTTCCCCTACAATATCAACCCGTTCTGTTGACACACTAAAACAGATATTGGAACTCCATAGCACTGCGAATTACTAGGTCAATATGGGTCAAATACTTCCTAACCTTGCGACTGAGGACTGAACGAGCTGACTCAAGGGAGTGGGTCTGCAAGGTGAATGGTCCGACCTGGTTCTTTGTAACGCGTTCAAAACTTTGCGCTACCAACCTATGTCTCAGTTATCCGAATATCTTAACCTTAAGATTGTGTAATTCCTGACTGTTGTTGACTTCTCTCATCATCAAAAGTGAGTAGGTGAGACTATAATTTATGAACAAACCATCCATTTACGATAACACGTCTTGGTTTTCGGTGCGAATGTCTTCATCTATCTGACTAAATAGCGTTTGGGCATTTTAGCTTATTTCAGTTCGTGATGAAAACCCTAAATCTAATTTCTAACTATCAACTGTCGATTATAATTCTAATTCTTCACACTGCTTTATAACCCTCATTTAGTTATAGTGTAATGGTGGACATTCTCAAGTCCACTCTAGCGTATCTTAAAGACCGTCCATAAATTATAGTTTCACCAGCAAAGCTACTCGCACTTACCACCAGTCATTCCTTATGATTAGTTAGCCAAAAAGTCCGGATTCCATAACGGGGAGTTGTGTTAATGTTACACCATATTTACACGAAGCTGTATTATTCAAATACTACAGTTAATTTGTTTCAAACTACGAGTGTAATGTCATATGCCTTTAGTTTGACTGTTTTCGTCATGTAAGAAATTTCACCCGGTACTTGTTATCTGTTAACGACTAAGATATCTTAGTTTTATTCGGTTAATGCGTATAAATACTGGTGCCACTAATTATCAAAATAAGCATGTGTAACACATAAATGTACTTTGTTCATTCCCCGGCTTCAAGTCTTAAAATGAACATCTTTGCTTTTTCAAACTAGTCCTAGCAACGGTAAATAATCTATAGTGTTAAAGCTGCTAGGATGATATTCGTATCACATTTAAGCTAATGAAGCCGGTATCTCAGGATGGTGACATTCATCGGATTGTTGTCACTATGCTCAAGTACGTTGCAAAACCTGAGTGTTCCCAACTTGTTGCCACTGAAAGTCAACAATCCTTCGGAGATGAAAATAGTCTAACCTGAAATGTTTTAAAACATTCTTGGCTCCGAGAGACGCGTCTTCGCAAGTATAGAGCAAAACCACTTGCTAACACTCTGTGGACATAGTCTTTTACCACCAGACTAACACCACGATGGCCCTAGGACGGGTTCAGACTAATGTAAGCCGCTTTCACTATACCCAGATTGATTGCACCACTCATGCCGCCACTATCGATTACACCGCCACCTAAATACACGAATTTTATGACTGCTTCTGGCGACGCTCCCAAGAGTGTGGGTGAAAGTTCCTGCCATTCTTGCGAAATTGCATACCGTACCTACGGACGGTGGTCGCCAACCTGTTCGGTACTATCCGTATAGCACGTATGTCGTCACACGATGCGGCAATACCGTTCATATACTCATGATTGAAAACTATCTCTCCGGGTAACAAATTTTCACTACCACTATCTGCTTTCACCAGGGCTTTTTCTGAAATCTCATCAAGGGTAAAGTAAGAGAGAAGTTGTAAGATTTGGCAGCTCTTAAATGAAACAATAGAGAGCAGTGATTTTGTGCCCACACTCTACCCGTGGTGTTTGTGTACAGAGCTTTCGGGATGTTCATGAACTTCTCGGGCACGCCCTTCAACAGTTAGGTCCGAGGAATAGTCCTGTCCAAGAATCAAAGGCAACCAGTTTAAAACCAACAGATTATAGTTTCTCCTACTTATTACTCATAATTCGGCTCTATCTTATAACTCGTTCTATAGTAAAAAGTATTTCGTATTAAATATTGTCGGGCAGTTTATACTCTTATACTCCAGTGCATTTGTTATTTAATGAATCTTGAGTTTTTTATTACTGTTTTACTGCAAAGATCTCAATATATTTCAAATGACCGTCCCAAACGATGTTGCTCTATATGACCTTGCGATCAAAGCAGGAGTTCCTATGGATAACAAAGTTTTTAGGTATGATGCAACTTTTTAATTAACATTTTTCTTGAAGTGACTTATGTCGGTTTCGTCAAACAGCTTTTTTTCATTGTCTTAGGAATCTAAAGTCTGACTCATGCATATATCATGCTTAGTAGATTAGTTCTGAAAGTCTAATACATTTTTGGCTAAAAAATTGGCCTAGAAATTCAATTTTCCAAAACTTAAAAAGATCGCATACACTTGACAATTAGTATCTTTGAAAAATTACTTGGAAGTGATAGGATCGTGGATAAGCAATGACAATGGTCAACAGAGAGTTCTATGGAATAAAGTAGGTCATTCCTCAAGATTATCTAAAGCGGTAGTTTTGTTGTTGACAAAGTTAATCTTTGGCTAACGGATTGCGAGTTTAAATGTCATCTCGCCTGCTTGAGTATCTATATAGTAAGCCTACCCCTCACATAAATTATGAGTGAAAACCAAACTGACAGTCTGGTACCTGGCTACTGGGAGATTAATTTTAGTGAAATTGAAACACCTTATTATGTTTGTCATGTGTAACCAGTCATCCTATCACGTCAATTGACATTACCTAGTGTGGAATATACTTAGGAAACGGTTGGAAGTAAAAAGACCAATCCATTGTGTCATTTAAGGAAAAGCAAGCTTCTTGTGGTTAGGCGCTATGAATGGTAGGGTTCAAAATAAGTCACAATAAAGCATTCATTCTTTGAAATAAAACCCGAATATTTCATCATTATTATTTCACTTGTGCACATGGCTCTGTTTAATTAACTGTGATCTGACGATCTAGTAAGGTCACTATTTCTAGGTTTAAGGTATATGAATAACTAAATTTCCGGTTGCATTTATCAATATTAAAGAAATAACTAGATAAAGTATGCTTACGTAAATGGATGACTTGGTAATCTATTCCTTCTGTTCCCAGTTGTAAACTAAAGAACTTACGGGTATGTATTCAGTGCAATGGGTTTATAAAACATAGCATCTAAACCTGTAAGTTGGGAGACTCAAAGGTTTTCAGGCAATGACTTCGTATCATTTCATGTCGTCATTGACTGTGACTCTAATTCGTGTTTGGAGGTGTAAGCCCCCGAGTTATTGTCATCAAACTAACTGTATTTTGTAGTTAAAGACCCCAAGTATGACATTCACAATTGTTGGGAGTGCCGTGAATAAATCTACTCATTATATTCCTTTAAATGTTAAATCCCAGTATTTCATCATTTTTAAATTTTATTCGTTATTTTTGAACTGTATTTCCCAAATTTAGTCCTTGATACTACTATTGCATGTATCAACTACCTGTCAGAACAGTGTATCTGATTACTGGATCGTATACTAAAAAATGGTTCTTATGTATAGTTATTGCAAATTATTATTTTGATAACATTCAACTTTTCATATCTTTTTCTATTAGAAGAGTATATGGCTTGATTTCACTGGGTTGCAGTCCAGACGTCATTTTTTCAATGTTGAAATATCTCACATCTGTTCAATTAGTCGATTCTACAGAATTAGTCGATCGTAATTCAGTACCCAATATTAGTACAACTACTAGCAGGAGTACTGAACAACATCAGGTTAATAGATCGAGATTCCTAGCAAGTCGGAATTTAGAATCACAACAAAGTTTTTTTGGTACTTTTAGTGATTGTGATCAATATTTTAATGGACGGAATTATGAATTATGTAAAATGCTGTCAAATAAACCGAGAGTTACGCAACATCATCTATATTCAAAACCAAACTTATAATGTGGTGTGGCAACTCGAACTGATGTACGTACGTACGAAGTTCTACGTTGTTACTGACTGACTGAAACTTATAATACCATACTGCAAACTAGTATAAGTAAATTGTGTCCAGATTTTGTGTTTCTGACAGTTAAACTTTTTAATTCGTGATGTTGGTTCTTTTTTAAAATACTTATTGTTTATAAAAGGCCTTATTTTGTACCTCCTACATCAATTAGTTTATTCAAGAGATGTGAACATAAATATTTCTACGGAAAAAACTGTATCTTCCGGAATAACATGCGATGCTTCACTTTTCGTTCGAATAAACGAGGAGTAAAGTATTTACCTCAGTCATTATAACGGAACAGTTATAGTTAACAGTCTGGCTTAAATGTTTTTCAGTTCACGGTATCATACCACGTCGGCAGAACGTAACTGAATAGATACTCAGAGTTAAAGTAATAGCAGCAGTACTAATGACAATGGGGAAGCATCGGAAATGTGGTTTAAAAACAAAATGAATCCACCGAATGAAAAGAACGAATGTCATAGCAGAATAACATGAGTTCATTTATTTCGTGGATTCTCCTAATCTGCTTACAACCTAAAACCATGGTATTAATCATTAAAACGAAACAAGTTTACATAATTTACACTGGAAATATCTATAATAGATTGAGTTAATATGTGGAGATAGAATAATTTTAAGAGATATTAGGAAAGAACTGACACTGTTCGAGCATTCGCTCATTTATAAGTTAGATATATGAATATTCTAGGAGAGGATGGCGATGGACTAGCTGAGTGAAGCTCAGAAGTAAGAATTAAGATACCAGAAATTTTAGTTAGAGTTTATGGGAAATAGTCCCACGTAATAGTCTTTGAAAGCAGCTTAGCAGGAAAAAACAAGATTGGTAACTGTTTTATTTTACTTGTTTATTTAAACAAATAAACATTGGTACAAGGATGCACCGAATAGATATGCGGCACACAAATCCCATTTGATCTGTTTGGGGGCTGTGATACTGCCCAAACCGAAGCAGGTGCTTTCCCTAGAGAGCCACATTCGGAGCCTTCGATCTAAAGGTCTGATCCACAAAGCAGTGGGACATCGTGAGGAGATGCACTCCCATGGTAGCTGGTGACCAACAATTGGTTCATACGCCGCTTGTACCTTCAGGATATTGGAGCCCATGTGCACCATTTGTTTAGAATCAGGGTTTCCCAACTCCCCTAGGTGGACTCTCCATGTCTACCAACCCGGTTAAAGCGCCGGACATTTGCTTTTCGTCCTCTCGAGTTCGTAAACAACACTCCCGCCACGAGAAGGCAGTGAGTAGGACTTCCCTGGAAGAGGCTATATACGCGTGACCATGTGAGCATTTCGAGAGGTAAGGTGGGTCCTTCCCCTTACTCTCGGCCGCACCAGGGCATTTTGGGGCTCTGAAGCATTTACCAGCGATCATTTTGTCCATCAGTATTCAGTTTGTTATTTCTTTCATAATCCTAGAATAGTGATAATAATTATTTCTTATTATCCTTCGTTTAGCCTTAACAGGTAAAGTACATTTTGAGTGAATGGATCTGATTAGCACAACAATCCCACATCTAGACAGAAGTGAATAATAAATATTAAGTTTACTGAACCTACAAATTTAGATGAATACCGTTTTTGCTTCGAGTGTAATTTTATCATGAAACCGAGAGAATAGCTAGTGAATGAATAAAAGACAATACATTAACATTAAACTATCACGGATATTACCAAGATGTAGGAATTATAATAAGTTTAATACTATTCGGCAGAATTGAGAAGACATTAAGCGAAAAATAAAAACGTATTTTTTTATTTATCAAGTTTAAATGCAACAATTAACTTCAATAGATCATATAAAACGTGATCAATTTTAAAAAAATATATAGATTCTTCAAATGAATTTCAAAGACACTAATTTGACTTATATCTTTAAAAGGTATCTCATAATATTGAATGACTTATTGTACCAGTCTTTTTCCAATGAATGCTAAGAGACCTGAAATTATTCCTTGATGCAAGAATAAACAGAATTAACCAAAGAATTTAAAATAAAATCCTTGTTAAGAGATCGAGCATGTGCATGGTTTGTCACATACGCCCATGTTAGTTGTAACTGAGGGTCAATAAAAACTCCTTGACCAAGAATATCATCCCACATGCCAAACATTAAAGTATTCTGTATAAAATAGGGAATGAAGATAATATATTTACGAAATAAGATTATGGAATAATCAAATAGCCATACCAGATGATACTGAATTGACTTGTGCATATAACTTAGCAACGATTTATACTTTAGTAGTTTACTATATATATAATTTTAAAGGTGTATGTATCAAACCAAAGTGAGTTCTGAAACTCATACCACATTATCAAATTATCTACTACGTCTCTAATTTTACAGTACAAATTCCAAAAGCTCGTAATCTTGATTAAATTTTGCACTTAGTAAGATAGAGAATTAGCGTTTACGGTATCATTGGCACGAGAATAACAGAACACCTACGAAGGTTTTGAAACAAAGTAACATCAGTTCAGCTAACAAGTAACGCCACGATCGATACGAAAAGAAAGTGTTTTTAACTAGAAATTTACCTTACTACTTCAACAAAAGGCAATATTACTGTAAATTATATGGTATACTATAGTGACAATCGACATCAAACAGCAGAAAGCAAAATATATTTTAGAGTAAAATTACTAATAGCGAAAAAATGACAATTATGAATGATGAGTCTGCCGAAAGAGCGCTTGTTAACAACTTTCTAATCAGTCTCTATAACTTTGGTGGGATTTTGTTCTCTGAGCTGGATGGTTTGGTCATGGAGCTTTAATCGTTCTTCTGAACGACATCATCAGCACAAACTTCAAGTAGGAGTAAAGTATTCGAATTTCTGCACATATAGCTCACACCTTGTCCTGTGGAACTCGGTGTTGATTGGTTAATGTTGACGTTAAACCTGTCATGGTTTACTTCTTCATTTTGGTTGTACCTCCCATTGGTTTGAACTTTAGTCCTGTATTTGTCAATAATTTTCCTGACTGGTTGATAAATTGGATCGATTACAATGTGTTTGTTGATGGCTGATTGACCTAAGTGCCAAGCTTCTAAAACTTTTCTGGCGTTTTAGGAATGCTTCTATCCAAGATCTCAACACTGAGCCATTTGGCTGGTATTTTTTGATGAAGTTGATTGGTCTTCAGGCTATTTTACTTTATTTGAACACATAAATATTGGTACAAGGTGCACCAGACAAATCAATGACAATGGAAAGAGAAAAATTAAGTAAGGTGTGTATAAGAAAAAAGAACAATAACGACCACAGATTAACTCCGCCTGTAGCCCCTCTAGGGGCTACTGCCGGTCCCGAGCCCGGATAAAAGAGAGTTGGGCATGGGGTTAGCGACCCTATCCCGTAGAAAAAACTCCAATCAGAGAAAATTATTCGAACCTTTTAAAATCTACCCTGGGAGTCAGGTCTTCATTTAGAAGAGTTATGACGCCTCATGCTGAAAACCGAGTTCCTTCGGAAGTCATGAGGCCGATGCCCCTTCTGACAACCAGAGCGACCATTTATTTAGATACATGGAATGTTCGTACAATGTGGGACACCGGGAGAGCCTTCCAAATCGCTGCAGAAATGAGAAGATACAACCTAGAGATACTTGGGATCAGTGAAACAAGTTGGACAACAACGACTAACCACAGGAGAGCTCCTGTTATACTCCGGCCATGAAGAAGAAAATGCACCACATACACAAGGAGTTGCATTGATGCTGTCCAAACAAGCGCAAAATGCACTTATAGGATGGGAATCTCATGGACCAAGGATCATCAAAGCCTCCTTCAATGAATATCATCCAATGCTATGCGCCTACCAACGACTACAATGAAGACACTAAAGATCAATTCTACAATAGGCTGCAGTCAATCATCGAGAAGTGCCCAACAAAGGATCTAACCATTCTGATGGGAGATTTCAACGCCAAGGTTGGAACGGACAACACTGGATATAAAGACATCATGGGACGACACGGACTGGGAGAAAGAAACGAAAATGGTGAGAGATTTGCAAATCTATGTGCCTTCAATAAGCTGGTCATAGGCGGCACCATATTCCCACATAAACGCATACACAAAACCACATGGACTTCACCGGATCACTCTACACAAAACCAAATCGACCATATCTGCATCAACAAAACGTTCAGGAGGACTATAGAGGACGTGAGAACCAAGAGAGGAGCTGATATAGCATCAGATCATCACTTGCTGGTCGCCAAGATGAAATTGAAACTCAAGAAGCACTGGACAACGGGGCGGACAATATCACAAAAAATTTCAATACGGCCTTTCTCCAGGATACTAACAAACTCAACAAATTCAAGATAGCCCTCAGCAACAAGTTCCAGGCCTTTCATGATCTACTCAATGGAGAAGGAACTACTATGGAGAGCAACTGGAAGGGGATCAAAGAGGCAATCAATTCAATATGTCATGAGGTTCTCGGCCAGAAGAAGCAGCATCACAAGGAATGGATCACTGTTGATACACTGGATAAGATTCAAGAGAGGAGGAACAGGAAGGCAGCAATCAATACCAGCCGAACAAGAGCAGAAAAAGCCAAGGCACAAGCTGAATACACAGAAGTAAACAAGCAAGTGAAGAGGAGCATCAGAACTGACAAACGTAAATATGTGGAAGATTTAGCAATGACGGCGGAAAGGGCTGCAAGAGAAGGAAACGTGAGAGAATTGTATGACATAACAAAGAAACTCTCTGGAAATTACCGTAAAGGAGAACGACCAGTGAAAAGGAAGGAAGGTAAGGTAATCACCAACATTGAAGAACAACGAAACAGGTGGGTAGAGCTCTTCAAAGAACTCTTGAATCGACCAGCCCCACTAAACCCACCCAACATAGAAGTAGCACCCACGGACCTCACAATCGATGTTGGCCACCAACAATTGAAGAAATCAG